CTCCCGCTCTTCCTCCTCCTCCCGTTGCTCCTCCTGCTCTTCCCCCCTTCCTCCTCCCTCGCCTCCGCACGACGACGACCATTGCTTCCCGTTTGCGCGATGTCCACCCGAGCCCACACCACCGCTGCGCTTGCTGCACTTCACTCCCGCCACCCTTCTGTCCGCCCCCGCCGTTCCATGCTGCCCTTGGCCCACTTCGGTTTCCGCTGCGTGCGTCGGCCTGGGCATCCGCCGCCTGGACCTCGCATCCGCCCTGCGCCCACCCGTGTGGCTTTTTGCCCGGTTTGCTTTTCCCTGCCCGCCTGGGCCTGGGCCTCGCCCCTGCACCGGCTCCCCTATCCGGTTCCACCCCTCCACGAGTTTCCCTTGGGCCCCGGACCGAGCATGTCAGCGGGACCTTTACAACTTCTAGTAGTATACTCCACGGGTTTCCCTTGGGCCTGCGACCGAGCATGTCGGCGGGACCTTTGCAAATTTTAGTAGTATAGAGAAGAGAAAAAGTGGGAAGAAAAGGAATGAGAAAATGGTGTGAAGAAGAGGAATGAGAAAATGGTGTGAAGAAAAGGAATGAACCTAGATTGTGCTCGCATGACAAGAAAACGAAACGTGACAAGAAAGAAAACAACAAGAGGACAAGCGGAGGGCTGTGCATAGGAATGAACCCAGGTTTCCGTCCTTCGGGACTTCCGGGGGGACATCTGTTAAAATTGGTGTCGAGAAAAGGAATGCACCTAGATTGCGCTCACATGACAAGAAAAGGGAACGTGAGAAGAAAGAAAACAACAGCAGGACAAACGAGACCACATAGCTGGTGTCTATGTACATGGCACAAATCAACGGCAGGAAAGCAGTACGAATCGACCATGTGAATCGAGGGAAGCAACCAATGGAATGAGTCGACAGATTTAGTCAACGGGATGAATCAGTGGCATGAGTCGAACCACCAGTTCCTTTCCCGATGCGGCAGATGGCCATTTTCTCCCGATGCGGCTGTGTGAAACGTGTCCTAACTTTTGGGGTTCAGCTCACCAGAGCAAAATGGCTCATTGCCGTTTTTTTTTTTTTTTTTTTTTCACCTTCGACGCGCGGGAGGAAATCTACTTCGGCCACAAGATTTACCTCGCTTGCGAGGCCCTATGATTGCAGCAGTCCCCTGTATGTATTCTTTTTTTTTTTTTTTTTTGCGTAGGAGCAGTGGTGGGAAAGTAGTGAAACGCAAGAATAATTTGAGAGAAGAACTTGGTCTAGTTTTGTGGGGAAAAAAAGACAAAGAAAGAAAGAAACGTCCAAGTACTTGTGGTTAACGACATGAGTCAAAGGTTGAGAATGAATCAATGGTTAGAGAAGGTATCGGTGGTGAAGAAAGAATCAATGGAATGAATCGATGGAATGAATCAACGGAATGAATCGATGGTGTAGAACGTATGTTGTAGGCGGGTAGATGCTGTAAATGCTTGGCACATTTCTGATGGGTTCCCTAGAGACACTCAGTAGGAGGCCACTTGGATAAAGTGCACAGTAAGAGAAACGATGACTGTAAGGGAAACGATGACTGTAAGGGAAACGATGACTGTGAGGCAATCTTGTCTTATTCCCACCCTCTTGTCTTCCGCTGAACGCAACGCACCTTGATGATGAACGCACCTTGATGATGAACATATAACATATACAAAAGCTGAGGCAAACGGTTGAGGCAAACGGCTGAGGCAAACGGACCAGCTTTTGTGTATGGCAACGGCTTTTGTATATGGCCAGATGGTGGCATTGGTGGGCGCACAGTAAGGGAAACGATGACTGTGGGGATTCTCTTAAACCACCAATACTTGCTAAAGTCGT